TCCCTAGCTGTTCTTCTTTAGTCTTGCACATTTTGGATGGAGCAAGCAATGTGTGTTCTCTTAGATAAACCCAGTATCCTTGCACCAGCACCGCAGGGCGCAGGTACAAGTGACTGATAAGGCAACAGCACCTCCATGGCTGCGTAACCTGCCTTTTGTGTTCATACCAGGTTGACAGTTCAGCAGAATCTGTGCAAAGATGCAGTTTTGGGTAAAAGACATTGATTGCCATTTGGGCTGGGAGGGATAAAACTGGACCGTAAACTGGATTTCTGTTAATTAACTGGGATCAGAAGTTCTTCCACAGGCAGGGAAAGCCTTCTGTGAACACACACTAATAAAAGATGTTTGAGTTTTTGTCATCATGGCAGAAACACACTTGAGGGCAACCCTCTAAGAAGGAAACAAAGCCCTCGGGCTGCATGGAGGGTCTCACCCAGGCTGTCAGGGGAACAGCCCAGTGGCCTTCTGGGAAGGCCGTCAGTTCTGGTTCCTCCAAGTCAGAGATGTCTCTCCCACCAGAACCTGCACTGCCATTGAACCAAAGCCTCAGGAAGTCCATTGTCCAGATCCATCACTGGGTAACTCAGTAATGCAGAGAAAATGATCTGTAGGCGAATGCAGTCACGAAGGAGGCACTGCTGGATTCCCCGAGAAGCTAAGGAGAAAGAACAAAAACCCAGGCCTAGCAGGTGCCTCTGCCTAATCTAGTTCTTCCCGAGTCTGGGAGTCAGGCCTGTGGGGGCAGGCAGGAACGTGTTTGTCATTGTTCAGCCAAACTGCATTCGCTGCATTATTGGTGATCCAGCAAGAAGGCACAGCCCTCCCTTTGGGTGCCTCATGCCCTGAACGCGGAGTTGGACATGTAGCAAGGAAACAGTGGAGGTGCTCACTGTGGTGGCAAAGATGTGAGCAGGAGCCTGGAAACCCAGAGGGACGCACCACGAAATCCTAACTGGGTCCTGAGGAAAGGAAGGGCTGGGGAGGGAGGTGGCACTTGGTCTGAGTCTTCCGGGAAGGGGAAGGATGGGGCTTTAACTGGGCAGGGAGAGGTGGAGGCAGAGGGGGTGAAGAAGGCATCCAGGCAGAATAGAATGCCTGCAGGGCTCCTTGAAAACAGCTCAGCACCTCCTCCCAGAAACGGGAGGCCTCATTTGGGGGCGCCTCTGAGCAAACACAGCGGGGGATCTGTGCCTGCTTGTAGTCTTTTCTTTTTTTCCAAATCCATATTTGTTTGTTTGACAGGTAGTGAGACAGAGAGACTGATCCACTGGGTCACTCCCCAGATGCCTGCAGCAGCTGGGGCTGGGGCAGGCTGAAGCCAGGATAGCTGACGCCATCCCATGCCCATACCTGGGCAGCAGGGACACAAAGACTTGAGCCACTCCGTGAGTCCTCTTCAGTCCTACCCCCAGCCACCTCATCACCAACGCAGTAGCCTCTGGCTTCTATAACTTCCATCCCGAACATTCCAGAAGTGAAATAGTAGCTGTAGAAGGGAAGAAGGGAGCTTTCCCCCCAAAGAGTTTCCTAGGCTGATTATCCCAAACCTGGGCTTGGGCAGACTCTGCTCGCTTTCCCAGGGCCTCTGCTGCTGCTTTCTTGCACTGTTCTTGTTGCCCAGCAAAGTCAGAATTACCAACAGTGATGGGAGTAAGAGTCCAGGGCGAGTCCTCTGACCTTGCTGAGGTGCTGTGTCCATCTTCTGGAGCTGGCCTCCACTTGCAAGTGGGATAAGGGGAACCCTCCGTTTATCCAGAGGTGCCTGTGCGTTTGAAATACCATGCTCCTGCAGATAGAGAATGGAAGTTGTGTGGAATTACACAGCAAATGACAACTTCTCAACACCTGCTGTGGTCTCTGGTTGTCAGCCCTGGAGTGCTGGGTCAGACTCTTCACAAATGGTAACTTGGTTAATAAGAATGGGAGGAAATGAAGGTGCAGTCTTTCTCACCCTACGGGTCCTGAAACAGAGACTTTGATAAGCTAAGTGACTCCCATTTTAACTACAAAAATAACACTGCCACTGATCCCAGAAAAGGCGCATGTTGATTTTTATAATCTAGTTATCCTTAAGAAGTAGAAGGCTAGGGCCAGTGTTGTGGCATAGCAGGTGCAATGCCGGCTTTCCATATGGGAGCCAGTTCAAGACCTGGCTGCTCCACTTCTGATCCAGTTCCCTTCTAATTAGAGTGCCTGGGAAAGCAGCAGAAGATGGCTCAAGTACTTGTGCCCTTGCACCCATGTGGGAGACCTGGAAGGAGCTCCTGGCTTTGGCCTGGCCATCGCAGCCATTTGGCAAGTGAACCAGCAGATGGAAGACTTTGCTTTCTGTCTGTCTCTCTCTCTCTGTAACTCTTCCTTTCAAATCTCTGTCTCTCTCAAATCTGTCTGTCTCTCTGTCTCCATATATGTATATATATAAAGAAGGCACAAGTCCTTGGGCTCCTGCACCCACATGGGAGACCCAGAAGATGATCCTCAATTCAGCCTGGCCCAGTCCTGGCTGTTGCAGCCATCTGGGGAGTGAACCAGCGGTTAAAAGCTCTCTCTTGCTCTCTCTCGCTCTCTCTCGTTCTCTCTCTCTCTCTCTCTTCATCCCTCTCTCTTCCTCCTCCTCCTCCTTTCTACGTAACTGTTCCTCTCAAATAAATAAAAAGTAAATCTTCAAAAAAAAGGTTCATTAAAAATATTGAATCAAGAGGTCAAGAATTTGTTACAGTTTAACAAGAAAACTGGTTTTCAAGGGACAGATAAAACTGAAATCCGCCTTAGCATTAGTTTTAGCCACAACAAACTATAAGGTATCATCTAAATACTTTGGCCAAATAATATTGCAGTCTGAGATCTAATTTCTGATTGGTCTGCAGAGAACTGTTCACAGTAAATGATGGTGACATTTTCCAAGTATTTCTCGAAAATTGAAAAGATCTAAAAACAGAAGCACATAAGTTTAGGACCATTCTGTTTTTCTACAAAAATGATAATTTTATAGAAAAATAGGATCCTAACCATCCCCTCATTAAAACCTCTGTTTACTCATGTGCATCCTTGAGATACACACTCAGGTCCTTACTGTGACTTCCCTGGCTTCCCTGTTGGCTCTGGCCTCTCAGTAGCTCACCCTTGTGCGTGCCAGTCGGAGGACCCCTGTGTCTCACTCTCTCCTACTTTGTCTTCCCGGCTCTGCTTGAGTGTCTGGATCCAGGAGGCTTTCTTTGACCTTTGAGACTGGACTGAGTGTCCTTCCCTTGCTCAGTCTTGATATCATAATGCGCTACACTGTCATTCTTGTTTACCTGTGGTCCCGTCAGACCTCATGGCTTTTGAAAGCATTCAGAGACGGGCAACAGGCATTGTGATGCAGTGGGTTAAACCACAGCTGGGAATACCCATTCCCCATGCAGGAGCACCTGCTCCAATCCAGCTTCCTGCTAATGTGCCCGAGAGGCAGCAGATGGTGACCCGAGTGCTGGGATCTCTGCCACCCACTTGGGAGACCCAGAGCAAGTTCCTGGCTCCTGGCTTCAGTCTGACCTAGTCCCAGCTGGTGGGGAGTGAACCAGAGGACAGAAGTCTATCCCTCTCCCTGCCATCTCCCTCACCTCTGCCTTTCAAATAGGTAAAGAAACCTATTTTTAAAAATGTATGTGTTTGGGACCGGTGCTGTGGCAAAGCAGGTAAAGCCGCCACCTGCAGTGCCTGCTTCCCATATGGGCACTGGTTCGAGTCCCAGCTGCTTCTTAGCTCTCTGCTATGGCCTGGGAAAGCATTAGAAGATGGTCCAAGTCCTTGGGCCCTTGTACCCACGTGGGAGACCCACAGGAAGCTCCTGGCTTCAGATCGGCACAGCTCCAGCTGTTGTAGCCAACATCCATCGGATGGAAGAATCTCTCTCTCTCTCTCTCTCTCTCTCTCTCTCTCTCTCTAAATCTGACTTTCAAATAAATAAATCTTTAAAAAAATGTATTCGCTTTAATTTTGACTCTAGTTAGGAGGAGTAGAAACCCACTCAAGCTAGCCAATATAAAGGGAGTTTATTGAGGGGAATGTTGAAAGCAATACAGACTTTAGTGGACATGCGAGAACCCTGTTTGTGGGAAAACTGTACCTAATGGGACCAGAGTGGCAGCAGCGTAGGATGGTGGGGATGTGTCTTCTGGCTCCCTGCTCCTCTGCACCCAGCACTGGGTGCCCCTCTTTCTCCTGCTGGCTCCTGAGCTGCTGCACCTGACTTCATGTAGTCAGCTCAAGACCTCGGCTTGCCTGCACCACCTCCAGTGGCCCAACCGGCCCTGGTAGAGCATCCTGACCTGGTGGCTTTGTCTCCTTCTCACTGCTTGGTTGGTTTGTCCATCTTCCATTTATAAATTTCCAAAAGGGGTGCTTTGCTGTCTGGCACAAGGACCTTGCTTGGATTAGCAATGATTGCAAGCTCAAGGACCACCCCCTGAGTTCCACCCCACCCCCAGCACCGGTGCTTATTCTGGATACCCACTTCCTTCCCATGTGCCTCTCTGTCAGTGTTCCTAGTGACCCGACGTGGCCAGGCCTCAACATGGGTGCCCACCAACAGGGTGCCCACCCCCACCTTCCTCCTACCTGTTTTCTTCAGTGGGACTGTTCAAGAGCAGGACACAGTGTGGCTCCCAATTCCTGTAGTGAGCAGAGCAAGCCGTGGGGAGGGCAGCCAACACCTCCCAGCTCTGGATAGCCCGTCGTAATGCCAATAAAACATCCCTGTTTGCCTCAGGAAAAAAAAAATATGGCAAGTCAGACTATACACATGATGGGTCTCTGGCCACTCTGTAGGGTGCTGTGCTTGGGTCTGGTCCTCACTACAGATCGGCCTATCTTGCGAGGAGCTGGAGGGTTCCCTGGGTCAGAACACGGCTGCCTATTGATGTAGACCACTGTGTTTTGTTTTCTGCTTCTCCGTGTGCAGAGATGTTAAACTTGCGTTGTATGCACTTCATGGTATCCTTTGCTTGCTTTCACAGATATCATTAATGGAGCTCAAGAAAAATGTGTATTGCCTCCTATGGATGGCTACCCCCACTGCGAAGGGAAGATCAAGGTGAGAACAGAGCAGTGCTTCTTCCCTGCACCGTGGTGTTTTCTCCCTCCTGGTGGATACACATGGGCACGTGAACCTGTGAGGCATGCCACTTCAGGCCTGCCTCATTGCCACCCGTGTTGGGCTCTGACCATCATGACCCTTTGCTGCTGATTCCAGCTCCGTAGAGTTCATCAGACTGAAAATGCCTGGGCCAGTCAGCCTCCTGCTTTGTCTGAAGCTGCCTTCCCGTGTCCCATCCCAGCCCCAGTCGCAGCCCCAGCCCCAGCATGCCTGATGACACCAACCCCAGCCCCTTTTACATCGTCTGCATGGGGACACCTGTAAATGCTCGCATGTGCATTGCACCCAAGTCCTTGTCCACGCTGTCTGGGTTCTAGGCTGTGTGCTGCTGGGACGGCAGTTCTCAGGGGGCCTTTGGAGGCAAGGACCCATCATGCACTTGATCTTGGTAAAAGTCCCATAGGCATTGCCTCTCCTGGCCTCTCTACCTACCCTAAGCACCTCTGCTGAGGCCCGGCATCTGCTTGTTGCTTATCACGACCGCAGTTGAGCATTTGGTCATCTCATCCGTGACCCGGTGACTCTGCGACTCTGTCTTTAGGCCCCAGCTTGAGCCATCCCCTCTGATCCTCTCCATCAGAATGTTATGCAGGTGCACGGGGATTAGGCTGCTCAGCGATGCTCTTGTCTGCTCTTGTTTCAGTGGATGAAAGATATGTGGCGTTCAGATCCCTGCTACGCAGACTACGGAGTGGATGGATCCACCTGTTCTTTCTTTATTTACCTCAGTGAGGTGAGTGGCTTCCTGCGGCTGCTGCAGGCAGACCTGGGGTTGAGTCTGCTCTGCAGGTGAGACTGGACTTTGAGAAGTTTCCATCTATGTGTTGTTCCTCTATGGAGGACTTGTGGAGGTGTGTCTTCATTCTCTGCTTCCTGGAGGGAAAAAAAGGCTGAGCTATTTACTGTGTTTTCCGAATTGTTTTGGTTATGATAATGTGCATAACCTGAAATTAATCTCTAAATCATTTTTTGTGAAGATTTATTTATTGGAAAGAGTTACAGAGAGCAGCAGAGAGATGGACCAATTTTCCATCTGCTGGTTCACTCCCCAGGTGGTCACAACAGCCAGTGCTGGGCCAAGGCCAAGCCAAAGCCAGGAGCTTCATCTGGGTCTCCCATGTGGGTGGTGGGGTGTCAAAGCACTTGATCCATCCTCCTCTGCTTTTCTCAGGCCACAACAGGCAGCTAGATTGGAAATGGAGCTGCTGAGAGCTGGTGTCACAGGCCGTACCTTAACTTGCTCCGCCATGCTGGTACCCTCTAAACCATTTTTGAAATGCTCAGTGTAGCAGTATTAAGAGTATTCACATGCTGGTGCAACCCTCACTACCATTCATCTCCAGAACCCCTTTCATCCTGCAAAACCAAAACTCGGCACCCATTCTGTCATTAACTCCTCTTTCATAACTCCTGGCTCCCCCCAGCCCCTGGACGCCACCTCCTACCTTCCGTCTCTGTGACTTCGATTACTTCTGGGCCCATCATCCTCGTTGGATCATAAGTATCTGACCTCTTGTGCCTGGGTCTTTTCACTTAGCACAGTGTCCTCAGGGTTTATTGTAGCCTGTGTCAGAATTTCCTTCCTTTTCAGGCCTACTAATATCCAACTGTGGGTAGAAGTAGCATTCTGCTTAACCATTCTGCTTGTACCCTTGGGTTGCCTCTGCCTTTGGCTGTTGTCAGTCCTGGTGCTATGAGCAGGAGTGTGCCAATCTCTGTTGTGCCGGCTGCTTCCACTTCTCTTGGTGTCCCTAGGAGTGGAATTCCTGGATCCTATGGTAATTCTGTTTTTAAGTAGTTGAGGAATCCCATTCTGGTTTTCACAGCAGTCATGACATTTTACATTCCCACCAACAATACGTATAAGCTCCAGTTTCTCCACCTCCTCACCAATACTTGATATTTTCTGTTTCTCATAATAGCCTTCCTAGTGGGAATGGGGTGCTGGCTCAGTGTGGTTTCAGTTTACATTTCCCTGCTAATTCATGATTCTGAGAAATTTTCCATGTGTCTGTTGGCTAAGTTAATTACTTTGACCTCTTTTAAATTTGCTTTTATCTGGGCTTTATTTTCACAAGTACCCTTGAATTTAGTTTTTTTAAAAAAGATTTGTTTATTTTGAAAGAGTTCCAGGGGCAGGGGAGGAGACAGGAGAAAGAGGGAGAGAGAGAGAGCTGCCATCCACTGGTTCACTCCCTAGACGACCACAATGGCCAGCCCTGGGCCAGGCTGAAGCCAGGAACTTCATCTGGGTCTCCCACATAAGTGTCCAAACACTTGGGCCATTTCTGGCTGGTTTCCCAGGCCATAGCAGTGAGCTGAATCTGAAGAGGGACAGCAGCTGAGACAGGAACCAGTGCCCATATGGGATGCCAGTGCTGCAGGTGGAGGCTTAGCCTACTATGCCAGAGCACCAGAGAAACAGGTGCTGGCTGCCTTCAGAGGGTGTGTCTCCATGGGCACTCTGCGGCCATTTCTTTTGTATTTGTCCCCTATTGCCTGTCTGTCTGTCTCTCTCCCTCTCTCCTTCTTGCTGCTGCCCTTTGACCCCAAGAGTAGCTCTCCGGTGATGCCATGCAGAAAGGAGGATGCCTCCATGTTTAAGGCTAAATGAAATGCTTTTGTCCCACAGGTTTCCTTGTGCCATTCAGCCACATCTTCTTTTCTGACAGCAACAGGTTCCTTTGGGGACAGAGACTAACCCAGCATTGCCACAGGGCATGTGGCCTGCAGTCCCTGGGGTCTGTCCCTCTCCTCTACCACTCTCTTGCTCCTCTCCTTGGAATGTCTAAGTGGTGGACTCCTTGTGTGTGACAAGGTTTTTCCATGAGCCTGCCATGGCTGCCTTGCAAAACCCAGCCCTGATGGGAGTTAAAATGCCTCCTGGAAATGAAGGGCACGGGCACCACACCAGGAGTGGGGCACAAGATGCTGCTCATTAGCAGGCTGCCGGCAAACTGATTTTGCGTCAGAGTATCTTTGTAGTTCTAGAGCAGGTGACCTGTGGCCTGCCTTCTCATCTTCTCCTGGGGAGTAAGGGCTGGGGCCACGGGGAGCCTACACCACAAAGGCAGGTCCATTTCCAGTACCTCACCTGCCCTGAGGACATGGCTTCTCATTGCCTTTAATTTCCTGACCCTATCTTCCTCTGCCCATTTGATAGAATTTAGCCAGGGTCCTATTGTGCCCCATGATTGACAAGCTGGGCTCATTTGACGCCTTCCTAAGGGTCTGTGTTTTGGGGTAGGGTGGACTGCACTGCCAAGACAACAGCAGAGGATTCGACTTGCCCACTCCTGCTACTTCTCTGTGCCCCCACCCCCCAGGGCCAGAACTGGGAAGCCATGGGCATGTGGTCCAGACTCCAAGAAAAAGGGACAGAAATCTTGGGACAGAGGTAGCTTTAGGGGAGAACAGGAGGGCCTGGGGCAGGGGAATTGAGGGGAGTGTGGGGGCGGGGCCACTTGCTCTGGTGGTCAGGGGCCGAGGTTTGCTTTCAGAAGCCCTGACTGTTCTGAAGCGTGGGATGCTGCTTTGCTGGCCCGTTTCACTCTCTGCTTATGTCCATGATCGTGTTTTTCTTCTTGTTCAGCTGAGTGCTTTTTGAACATGTGTTCACTGATTGTCAATATTTGTCCTGCCTGGTTTTCTTAGCACCATGCTATGCGTTCATTATCTTACAGGAGACAATGGATGTGGGATAGGGCATATTAATTTTACTACAGGCCCACATTCTAAGTGCATTTACATAGGTATACAAATGGGACAAGATCTGTTTAACAGTGGGAGAGAAAAATAGACATTCATGTGTCAGCGGGGGCTGCCCCCACTCAGAAATACCTGTGGTTGAGGAGGCCAGAGGATTGTCCAAAAGTGGGGAGAGGGGAAGAGAGCACCTGCTTGTACCACCGGCCATGGTCCATGGTGTTGGCATCTTTTATGAGGTCAAGAGTGGTGCCTCTACTAGTGCGAAGCCACCTGGAAATGTTACGGTACCCCCATAAATTCCACCTGGCGCTTAATAGCCATACTTCCATGGCATCCTTCTGTAGGTCCCAGATTAAGCAGGTGCATCTTGGGAAAGAGGGCATTTTGATTGACAAGTGAGGGGATAGCATTACATTTGTGACCTGCAGGGACGCCAGCTCTCACAGGCTATCTAGCTGTCTGCCTGTTCACCACTCATCATTGTCAAAATAGGAGAGGAAGCAGGAATGCAGATAATTGGACCAGGAAGAGGTGGAGTCCCTTCCCCTTAGGATAGAAATAGGAACCTCTTTCTCGAAGTTTTAATCTGAAAATACTCTTGAACTTGACCTTGTAAAAATAATCTCTTTTATTGTAGCATCATTATAGATACCCTCTATTGGCCTATTTTTCTTTTGTTACTGTGATGAAATATCTGAGACAGGCTAACTTTTTAAAGCAAAGAGATGCATTCAGTTCACACTTGTAGGTGCTGAAAGGCCATTTCATGGCTGATGGCAGTGGCAAGAGTATTTATGGGAGGAAGGGATAGCATCTCAGAACAGGGAGCCAGAGGGGCTGGGGTCCCACAATTCCTTCTGAGAGCAGAGCCCCCAGTGATCTACACCTCCCAGTGTTGCCATACGGAGGACGAAGCTCGCAGCACAGGAACAGGAGGTGAGACAACCCGCAGCCATGCCCGGGAGAGCTAGCGGGGAACCTCATCAGCACGCTCACAGCTGCAGGGAGACAGCCTCACGCCTGCCGTGGCCTTCCCTCCTGCTGCTTTCCAAGCTCTGCGATTTGCCAAAGGTCCCTTAACCTCGTGACTTCTGCCTTCATAAAGGAATACTTTAAATGCTGCTTGTTTGTAAAGGCCCCCGCCGTGAGGATGTTGTGGAGATGCTTGAGTTTCTATGGTAACAGACTCAGAGTAGAGCCAGGCAGGGAGAAGGCACTCAATACACCTAACTGACACGTTTACCCGGTTTAGTGTTGGCCTCACCTGGGGAGCCCTGGGGGCTGCTGCCTAGCTTCACACATTACCCGTGGAACCTTGGTGTAGACGGAGATTCCATTCCTGGTTCTCCTTCCTGCATTACCTAGTTTAATTTTATGTCCCTTGACATTGGTCATGTACAAAATCAACTGCTTGCCTTGGCTCTTCCTTTCTTAAATGACAAAAACTGTATGCAGTTGCCACATGCAGTATGGTGTATGTGTTGTGAAGTGGCTAAGGCAGCTCAGGCATGCATGCATTGCTCGATGTGCCGCTTCACTTGGCGGTGAGCTGCCTGCACCTGGCCCGAAGCCTCCAGGTGCAATGTTGTGGTTGCATTCCTACTGGCCCTTCTGCAAGGAGAGAAGGCTCCCAAAGCCCATTAGTTCTGTTCTAGTATTTTTTAAATCTTGGGCAGTATCTGTGGCTTTCTGGAGCTGCTTGTTAGCCTGGTCGTCTGTTTCTTTTGTCTTCTGCTCTCTTGAAACATTCCCTGTTTTGTCTCTTCTCTGAGCCCTAAAATGTGTGTGTTTCCTATATTAGAGGCCAAGTGCCTCTTGCAGTTGGGAAAATGATTGGGAGGGGCGTGTTCATCTGCTTTGTCAACTTGAACCACACTTGTGCCAGTGACTCCATTCCACTCATAGTCCTTACCCAGAGAACTGGTTTTTGTTTGCATTTTGAACATCAGCACTGCAACAGAAATATTAAAAGACATGAAAATGCCTCTCAGAGTGGGTCCCTGGGTGAATTAAAGCATCCACATT